TTCATGGTTCCAGGTATCAAGGAGTAGAAGTGAAAGTGGCACCACTCACCATTACCCTTAGTGATCTACTAGCAAAATTTTTGCTTCCTGTTCCCACGACATTATGTTCTCCTGGCCTAGGGGTCTTAGTTCCAGAGGGAGAAACACTGCCAACAGGAAACACAACAATTCCATTAAACTAGCAGTTAAGATGCCACCTGGACACTTTGGGCTCCTCCTATCTTAAGGTCAACAGGATAAGAAAGACCTTACAGTGTCGGCTAGGGTGACTGACTTGGACTATCAAGATGAAATCAGTCTACCACTCCAAAATGGAGGCAAGGAGGACTATGCATGGAATACAGGAGATCCATTAGGGTGTCTCTTAGTATTACCATGTCCTGTGATTAAGGTCAATGGCAAACTACAACAGCCCAATCCAGGCAGGACTAAAAAGAGTCCAGATCCCTCAGGAATGAGGGTTTGGGTCACTTCACCAGGAATAAAAACCATGATGTGCTGAGATGCTTGCTAAAGGCAAAGGAATATAGAATGGGTAGTAGAAGGTAGTCATCAATACCAGGTACAACCATGTGACCAGCTGCAGAAATGGGACTGCAATTGTCATGAATATTTCCTCTTTCTTTGTTAAAAACATGTTGGTGCATGTTTTACATGCACTTTTACTAAGAAAAGATCTTCATTTTTTTTCCTTTATCATGTGACTTAAGATTTATTGACTTCATATCAGCATTTAAGTATCATTCACTATGTAATAGAATTTGGGTTGGGGACTGGTGCATTTCCGATTGTACAAAGGATAGCTGTATTATATTAGGCATAATTATGACCTTATTAGTGTCTTTATTTGAATATTATGTATGATCTCAGGAGATATGTATAGGTTCAAGTTGACAAGGGGTGGACTTGTGATGGTTAATACTGAGTGTCAACTTGACCGAACTGAAAGATATAAAGTATTGATCCTGGATGTGTCTATGAGGGTACTGCCAAAAGAGATGAACATTTGAGTCATTAATCTGGGAAAGGCAGAGCCACCCTTAATTGGGTGGGCAACATTTAATCAGCTGCCAGTGAATATAAAGCGAGCAGAAAAATGTGAAAAGGAGAGACTGGCCTAGCCTCCCAGCCTACATCCTTCTCCCATGCTGAATGCTTCCTGCCCTTAAACATCAGACTCCAAGTTCTTCAGTTTGAGATTTGGACTGGCTCTCTTTGCTCCTCAAGCTTGCAGTCAGCCTATTGTGGATGCTGTGATCATGTAAGCTAATACTTAATAAACTCCCCACATATATATATAGTTATATATGTATAGCTTTATATATATAGTTTTATATATAGTTATATATATATAGTTTTATATATATAGTTATATATATATATAGTTATATATATACAGTTCCAGAGGGAGGAACACAGCCACCAGGAGACACAACAATTCCATTAAACTAGAAGTTAAGATGCTACCTGGACACTTTGGACAGACGGATATATATATATGGGATTTTATTACGTATATGTTTATTTAGTTATTAAGTATATATAGTTTTAGGTATAACATATATTATATATTTTATTTTATATAACATAAATATATTTTATATTTCATATATTTTATATATATAATAGGGAAGTTTATCATTAACATATATATATATATATATATCCTATTAGTTCTGTCCCTCTGAAGAACCTAATACACTCAGACTCAATAATTTCCATTGTTCTGTCATGTTTTCTGATTCTTCTCTGCTCAAATTTGCCTTTGAATCACTATAGTGAACTTTTCATTTCAGTTATACTTTTCTGTTCCTAAATTCTTTTGGTTTTCTTTTAGGTTTTCTATTTCCTTATTCATATTTCTCTTTTGTTCATACATCATGTTCTTGACTCTTAACATTTTCCTTTTGTTCTTTGAGCATCTTGAAGACAGTGGCTTTAAAGTCTTTGTCTAATAGATCTGCCATCAAGTTTTTCTCAGGGATAGTTTCTGATGATTTTTTTTTCCTTTAAATGAGCCATAGTTCCTGTTTCTTTATAGGCCTTATGAATTTTTGTTGAAAACTGAACACTTAATAATATGGTAAGTCTGAAAATCAGATTCTTCCTCTTCCCCCCAATTTGCTGTTTTCTGTTACTGCTTTTGTCTTTTTATTGTTGTAGCTATCTTTATGCCAAGGATCAGCCTGAATTAAAACTTTAGTTCTGCTTAGGTCTTTTCTGAGCATGTATCTTTCCCTCTGCCTGTACAGTCACTTTCTAATTTTCCCTGTATATGCAGTTGATTTCAAATTTGCGTGTTTAATGTATGGCTTTCAGAAGAGGAAAAATGAAAAAAATGAAGGGGTGGTGCAAAAGTGTGCCAGCCTTTTAATCCTGGGAAGTGACTTCAGCTGAAGGGGGAGGAGCTTGCAAAAATGGGGGAGATTACAATAACAATAGCTGCCCCTTTCATTGTCTGTATCTTTGTGATCATAAGCAGCAACCAGCAGTTACAGCACAGATCCTCAGTATTTGGAAAACAGGGTTCTTTTTGCCCACCTCAGCTCCTGCAAGCTGTGTGCAAGATGCTCTAGAAACATGTGCACAACTGCCTGCTGTTAAGATCAATGGCAAACTACAATAGCCCAATCCAGGCAGGACTAAAAACAGTCCAGACCCCTCAAGAATGAAGGTTTGGGTCACTTCACGAGGGCTGGGGATGGGGACTGGTAGCTGCCACTGTGTTAAGAGCTGAAGTTGATGGAAATTAACTGCAGCATATAGTCCGAGCCTTTTCCTGGAAGTTGCAAGCCTTCAATAGACTCCAGAGTTGAAAAATAGTTACATTAGACAGATTCTACCAGTGTCTGATTGTTTTCTAGGTAGACAGATATATTCCTGGAACTTTGTACTCTACCTTCTTCCCAGAATCCCATCTCTGAATACTTTCAGGAATATCAAGGTTTTTCATAAGAGAGGAGGCTGGATTTCAGCCATATGTATAGCTAACTATTAAAAAATAAAACCTATAAACTAACATCAATTATAAATCTATAACAAAAATGTTATCTTCAACTATATTCTGGAGTATATCTCAGCGTATCAATGAATAGTTCCATTTGTTAAAAGAAAACACTATCTGTATGACTAGAGAATGACTGAGTACTGTTGTGCTCTTAACAATAAAATTAATTAAGTTAGAGGTCTCATATACATGGCAATCATGTACCTATTAAATTAACTATTTAAAAGACTAGACAAACATGATTAACCCAAAGGAAAATAGTTAAAATCTTCATAATAAAACAAAAACTATTTAATTTAAATCCATATAAGGCAGGTCTTTGTAGGCAAATTTATTTCTATCCCACCTTAATATATGTACTGCAAAATATAGGGAGTACATATTCAGTGAAAATTCTGGAATATTAATTAGTTGTTAAATTAATTAATTTAGAAGAATTAATTTAGAGGAAAATGATATTGAAATAGTGTATGAAGTAAAATTTAGCCAGCCATAACCAGTTAAAATTATATATGACTATCATTTTTTATCCAGTTTTAGAAAAAGTTATCAGACATCTTATACAATTTATATACCTTTCCTCTAGAAAAAAAATTTTTAAACTCTACATTGTCTAGCTATACATTACTTTTCATGTATGTGGTCTTTCTCTCTGAGGCCAGGAGTGTGTATTTAATATCTGGATCAATGTCGTAGAGTATACAGATAGCATCAGAGGATATAGGAGCTCCAAAATGACCATAAAAGATTAAATCCCTGGGAAGTCTAGGCAATAGAATGTAAATTGGAGTCAATATTATCTCCACCTTCAAAGGGCAGGAATATCTCAGCTATCCCAAGGTAAGATTCTAAGGTCAGCTTCATGAATGCTAAAACATTTCCCCATCCTTTATAAAGGGGGTACAGATGGAATACTCTATCCTGTCTTCTGCGGTTGCCAGCAAAAGAATCTAGGAGCCCATTCAAAATGTCAGCACACAGAAGATGCCTCATATAAAGATGACTGGATCACAACTACTATGAAATTGATTTATATGGCATTATTCCATACTTGAATATTTTCATAAAAACAGTCTTCCCTTTTACCCTTTTAAAACTGAATACCAAAATACTGTTGCCAAAGATACAGTAAAAACCCATTTTAAAGTACCCCTAATTTTCAGATTTAATTTTACTGTGGATGAAATTGCATGTTTCAAATACACATATTTACCTACTTGTAAACCTAAATATGTATACATCTATTAACAAAACAAACAAAAAACATCCAGCTGGGCACAGTAGTAGTGTGTACTTATAAACTTAGCTACTTGGGAAGCTGAGGTAGGAGGATTATCTGAGCCCAGTAATTCAAGGCCAGCCATCTCAAAAAAATATAAAAAAGAAAAAGAAAATATCCAAATTGAGTAAAAGATATTCACATTTCTGACATCTACTTTTTATCAAGTTTTAATGAAAGCATGATTTGGTGATGAAAAGTTTCAATATTAGCATACAAACACAGATCATTTAATTGATTTACCAACCTAACAGTCTATCCATTAATTGAAGTGTGAGATTTAAAGTTTAAAAAGAGTCAAAAAGATACTGAAGAGTTAGTGTAAATGAAAGATTCCATTTGAAATTTGAAAAGCTGATTGCAATCCATAATTAATTTTTCCTGTGAGCTATGGCTACAACAGAAAGTCTCTTCTTCTCAAGAGAATTAAAAAATTACCCAACGATAGTCTTAAAATTGTTTCAAAAAGCAATCACATACAGTCTTGTTGATTTTTATTATATTGCCATTAGAAAAATAAAAGTTAAAACTCCCATAACTATTTCATATCCATACTTTGAGAAAAACACTTTAAAAATATAAATATTTGAATTTAAATGAATAGCATACATTTATCTAAAAGTAAATAATTATATATTTTATGATCAAAGATAAAAATTACCATAACTAAAAACAAGTGCAAGAAGAATAAAGTTTTGATGTTACTGAACCTACCTTTAATGTGATACTATAATGTCCAACAAATGTTGCACTTATCCATGATCTGGAATGGGGATCACCCAGGAATTCTATGTGATACTCTTCAACATTTCCATCCAGGTCATAGGTCACATACTTCCGTTTAAAACGGTCAGGGCAAAGTATTCCTGGCCAACTTTCAAAAGAAATTATTTTTAATTATTTTGATGCTTTTAAAAAGGCTGACATCAACACACCTATCACAATCACGTTTTGAACTTTCTCCTCTGAATTTTCACAAAACATATATTCTTACTCCTATCTTTCAAAAGTAGGATATTTGTTTGATGAAAGTAATAAGTTGCATTTTATCACTATAGAAAGCTTTGAAATAGTCACAAGTTTAAGATACAGATAAGACATGAGAAAAGAATTATAAAGCAAAAGAATGATCTCTAGGGACAATAAGATATATTTAGACACTAATTATAGAAAAGAGAAAAAAAGATTCATGCAGAGCTGAATTAACTCTAAACAATCAGAATGATTAATTAGCAAAATGTTAACCCACTAAGCATGACTTCTGATGGAGTAGGAGAGAGCTGATATTTCCTGAGCCAGGTCTGCCAAAGGAATCCTAGTGGTTCAGGCTGTGATAGTGCTGTGGAGTAAAACTACTGTGGGAAAATCAGATATAGAGATCAGCAGTTCTATCCTGACCCCTTCCCCTATCTGCTCCATTGCCAGATGACCACATTGTTGAAAATCTTCAACATTGAAAATAAAATTTACTCTTTATTAAAAACAAACCTTTAGAGATACGTTCTTTCATGACATAAACCTCTACAAATTACTTGACATGTTTCATCTTTCTCTTTGGTCTTCATTTCCCACTTTTGCCTTTTCTATTCCCTTATTTTTTTTTTTTTTTAGTTTTATTTGGTTTTTCTATTTCATAATATTCAGCAGAGAGCTCCTGTCATTAACATCTCTAATAAGCAAAATTAAATAATGTTTCTTTTTCTTTCCATTGGCATTAAAAGTTTTTATTTAGAATTTGATCCACAATCTATACAAGTTATTTAAAAGGCATGAAAATGGAAAACAGCACAAAATACAATTGAGGTGTAAGCTCAGAGCACAGTATGTCATGTTACAATAAATATAATTCAAAATTTGTAAACTAGGTGACCAGAAACATGAGTCTTATTTTTAGTAAAACCATATAAAATATTTATTTCACATGAGGTAGAGGACAGTTTTCTGTGTCATGTAATGCAACCAACCACAGCAACTTTAACCATAAAACTGTACATCATTGGCAAAATTTTAAATTTAATTATGGTCAAATGTAGTCAATTATTTGCTTACTGCCTTCACAGATTAGAAATTCAGAAATAATTTAAGACTATTATGTTGGCTTAAAATTATCAGAATAAACAAATACTTCTAACAGGATAGTTAAAACAAGTGTATTGGCCGGGCACAGTGGCTCACATCCCAGCACTTTGGGAGTCCGAGGCAGGTGGATCACAAGGTCAAGAGATCGAGACCATCCTGGTCAACATGGTGAAACTCCATCTCTACTAAAAATACAAAAAAATTAACTGGGCATGTTGGTGCGTGCCTGTAATCCCAGCTACTCAGGAGGCTGAGTCAGGAGAATTGCCTGAACCCAGGAGGCAGAGGTTGCTGTGAGCTGAGATCACACCATTGCACTCCAGCCTGGGTAACAAGAGTGAAACTCTGTCTCAAAAAAAAAAAAAAAAAAAAAAAAGTATATTTTATTTCTCACAAACTAATTCCTCAAAAGATGTCCTACATTTAGCAACTGTTTTGTAGGACATGTTTACTAGAACTACTTTGTGCTTTCTTTATTTTCAAGTGAGGTATCTATATTGAGGAAAAAAATCTTATATTCATTTTATATTAAACTAATTTAATAAACTATTTTGTTTTCTGGGCTTAATTTTTTTTTGTTTTTTACATTTGATCACTTTCTAATTCAAAAATTGTAGTACTATATAAGACATTTAATTCTATTACTAAATAGGCTCCAAATTACATTATATAGCTTAGAAGCCATTTAAATGAAAGGATTTACCAAAAAAAAAAGAACTGTCCTTTTAAACAAAATGCAATAGAAAATACTCATATGCTTTTCTTCCAAAAGTGGAAATGCTTAAGTACCCTATACTAGAAAAAGGAAATTAAGCTGTTTATTTAATTCCACAATGTATAATACAGCAGTTATATGTCCCTTATTGCTGACAGCTTTGATTAAAAACTATTAAGTAGCTCCAAGCACAGAAATAGATGTACAGTATGAGCACAATTTTTCTTTATATTAATTTTTAATGTCCTATCATGTGGATTAAATGCATAAAGGGCAAATAAAAATGAGGAATCCTCCCTAAGTAATCAAAACATATGTCTTATTGAGAAAATTTTAGAAGCTGATCAAAAACCTTCGGCACAAGCTTCGCAATTAATTCTAGGGAAATACCTTGGCACATTTATAGTACTTGAGTTTCCTTATAACTTTACTTTCCTTCAAACAGAAGCTACTGATGTGCAAATAAACTGGTTGTTCTCTCATGACTTCAAAAAGATATGGATAACCCGCAAATATATACTTATTTCACCTACTTTAATAGCTGTTTTACAATTCACTATTTATAAATGATTTTATATCTTAACTGGTAATATGTTAAATATGTTATAAAATTAGTTCAAGATTTAATATGTTTTGTGCTTCTTGAAATAATATTTCTATATGGAGTCTGACCCAGAAATTAGAGAATAGTCCTGAAAAACCTCTGAAGTGAGAAAACTCACACCTAAGAAGTGTTTTATCTGGTTTATCACATTCTGCTAAAAAGGGAGTTTGAAATAAACTAAAAGTTTTACAGGTACATAATCTCTATAAAAATTCCTCATTGTGAATGTAAATAAAAACAAATTTAGTGCTAAGAAAATCAAAATTATTATGTAACATATTTGCTCAATATTTTAAAAATAATGTCTGTAATTTTAAACATTAAAATGAAAATTGATTCAAAGCTATTATAAAAGAAACTGAAGAAGAATATCACAGATATTTAAAAGTTATCCAAAAAAAGCCTGGGGTGGAATTGGAAGAGGCAATGTACTGAGGCAAGTTAATGATGCCAGTGTTGTGAGAACACCTTGGAAGTTTTCATTGTCAATTTGATCCTCCCACCAACCTGATGAAGTGACGAATAAAGTTTTGATGTTAGGTAGTTGGGTTTTTTGGGGGGTTCTTTTTGTTTTTTGTCTGTTTGTTTTGCTTTTGAGAGTTAGTCTTGCTCTGTCATCCGGGCTGGAGTGCAATGGTACAATCTCAGCTCACTGCAACCTCCGTCTCCCAGGTTCCAGTGATTCTTGTGCCTCAGTCTCCCAAGTAGCTGGGATTATAGGTGCCCACTACCATCCCCGGCCAATTTTGTATTTTAGTAGAGATGAGGTTTCAGTTTCACTATGTTGGCCAGGTTGTTCTCAAACTCCTGACCTCAAGTGATCAACCTACTTTGGCCTCCCAAAGGGCTGGGATTACAGGCGTAAGCCACCATGCCCAGACTATTTTCTTTAAGTAAAAACTGAGTCTTGGCGATATCTTGGAACTTTCTTAAGAAGACTGTTAATAAAAGGTAGAAACGTGGTTTGAAAAAGGACTTTCTAATGCCAAAGCCCAAGTGACTTCCACTAGACTAGATCATAGTCATGGCTCAGAAGCAAGACCAGTACCAAAGGAAGGGAAACCTTAGGGAGGCTATATTCAACTCAAGAAAAGAAAAAAATAAAAGGACTTAAGAAGAATTGGATGGAATATTCAGCCTCATAAGTTATATTTCCCTGCCAATTAAGAGTCTAAACAACTATTTGGTAAAGAGTAGCAAAGTGTGTGGTGTATAGTGTGTGTGTGTGTGTGTGTGTGTGTGTAAGAATGTGCTTTGCTTATTGAAGTGGGGCAACCACATGATCTCAGAAGATCTTCTCTAGCCCTATGATAAAATCAGTTTGAGGAGGTTTATCTCATACCATAGTCAAAAGAGTAAAGTTACTAAAATAACAAAAGGCCTTTCATATCAGGTGTTTGATCAATAAGGATTGCCACCGTATCAAGACCAAGGATAGAATGATGGTATTCTTTCAGTGAAATAAAATTGAAAAAGATTATAGAGATACAGATGAGTTTATCTCAGTAATATCTATTTTTCCATTCAGATAATACATTATAACTATAGCTAGATAATTTATCTAAGTCTAATTTCATAAATGTTTATTATTAATGTCTCAAAAATTGACTTTTTATTTTATAAACTACAACTGTGAAATTAAGATTATCATCTTCTATTTAAATAGCACAATGTAAATCACTGGGCTAAAATGTTGTGTTTTACTATTCTATCCATGGCAAAATTGCACTTATATATCAACTAAGTGTTAAAAAGTTAACAAATCATTCTAGACTCTAACCTACTGTTCAGAGAATAAAGCAGGAAGGGAAGACAGTGAATAAAGTCAGCAAGCTATGACTAAGGAATGTACAGTAGAAATATGATGGAGTTTTATAGATCAAGGTATGAAATATGCCAAACCATTCAAAAATCAGTACAGCTGTCAAGTGCTACTGCACTTTGCAGCACTGTAAAGTCCCAGTTAGGTAATGATGTTCAGAATCTCAAATCCTACACCCCTCTACCTTCTGTATGCCCCAACAAGTTATAGCTCAGAGATCTGAGACACAGAATGCTTAGATTTTTTCCAATATTTCCTAGTGGTACAGCAAGGACCAACACATGCTCCAGTCTCTTGACTAGCAATATTTTCCCTGGTTTTGACATGCAACCGACAAGAGGCTTTGTGTCCCCACCAAAATCTCATCTTGAATTATAATTCTCATAATCCCCATGTATTTTAGAAGGGATGCAGTGGCAGGTAATTGAGTCATGAGGGTGGTTACCCTCACGCTGCTATTCTCATGATAGTGAGTGAGTTTCATGAGATCTGATGGTTTTATAAGGGGCTTTTCCCTCTTTGCTAAGCACTTCTCCTTGCTGCCGCCATGTGAGGAAGGATGTGTTTGCTTCCCCTTCTGCCATGATTGTAAGTTTCCAGAGGCCTCCTCAGCCATGCTGAACTGTGAGTCAATTAAACCTTTTTCCTTTATAA